TTTTTTTTTAGAGACAGAGTCTTACTTTGTCGCCCTTGGTAGAGTGGTGTGGCGTCACAGCTCACAGCAACCTCCAGCTCTCGGGCTTAGATGATTCTTTTGCCTCAGCCTCCCAAGTAACTGGGACTACAGGCATCTGCTACAATGCCCAGCTATTTTATTGTTGTAGTTTTGGCCGGGGCTGTGTTCAAACCCTCCACCCTAGGTATATGGGGCTGGCGCCTTACTCACTAAGCCACAGGCGCCACCTGTGTAATGTTTCTTGAACAGCTTGACCAGTTGACCAACTCTTAAATCCAAGAGGAAATAAATAAAAACTGCAATGACAAACTCTTTTGAAATCATTAGTAAAAACATTATATATAAAAATTATGGTATGAGGCAAGGCACACCTGAAATCCTAAAACTCTGGGACGACAAGGTGGGTAGATTGCCTGAGCTCAGAAGTTTGAGACCAGCCTAAGCCAGAGCAAGACCCTGTATCTAGTAAAAATGGAAAAATTAGGTAGGCATGGTGATGGGCGCCTGTAGTCTCAGCTACTCTGGAGGCTGAGGCAGAAGGATCACTTTAACTCAAGAGTTTGAGGTTGCTGTGAGCTCTGATGCCACGGTACTCTACTCGGTGACAGTGTGAGATTCTGTCTCAAAAAAAAAATTATGGTATCAGTTGTGTTCGTCCTCTGGAAAAAATTATGGGATATAACTAAAGCTATACTTAAATTCATATCTTAAGTGCTTTCTGTCGTAAACAATAAAGAATAAAAATAAAACATATGGCCAGGTGCAGTGGCTCACGCTTGTAATCTTAGCACTTTGGGAGGCTGAGGTGGGAGGATCACTTGAGGCCAGGAGTTTGAGACCAGCCTGAGCAAGAGTGAGATCTCATTTCTACAAATAATGGAAAGATTAGGCCAGCATAGTGGTACACATCTCTTGTAGCAGCTACCTGGGAGGCAAAGGCAGGAGGACAGCTTGAGCCAGGAGTTTAAGGTTGCAGTGAGCTACAATGATGCCACTGCACTCTAGCCTGGGACATAGAGCAAGACTGCTAAAAATCAAAATGCAGTATTTTCAAAAAGCTTATGTTATAGCCTGTACATAGTATTTTATTTAGTCTTTATAGTATTTATATAGCAGGTATTAATGTATGCCCTTATCTTTTTAAAATGCTCAGAAGCATAATTATCCATATCCATATAATATTCTAACTAAATTCTTGGTTTCCAAGAGCTACTTCACATCTTTCTTGATTCAATGCTACAAACATTTATTAATGTTTGGTATAGACAGGGCATTTTAAGGAATGAAGAGAAGAATAACATTCTCTACTTTGTAAAAATCCAGTCATATGTGATATGCCATGTGTGGACACTGGGTGCCCACATCAAGAGAGGATGCATAGGCTTGGTGCCAGCCACATACACCTGAGGTGGTGGGTTCAAATCCAGCCCAGGCCCGTGAAGCAATGATAGCTGCAACCAAAAAATAGCCGGGCATTGTGGCAGGCACCTGTAGTACCAGCTCCTTGGGAGGCAGAGGAGGAGACTTGCTTGAGCCCAGGAGTTGGTGGTTGCTGTGAGCTGTGATGCCACAGCACTCTGCCCAGGGCGATAGCTTAAGGCTCTGTCTCAAAAAAAAAAAAAAAAGAAAAGAAAAAAAAGATGCATGTAGGAAAGGATACAGGTTGTAATTCACTTACACCTAAACCTGCTAAACTTGCCAGCTAAATGAACTGATTTAAGTGCTAAAAATGAGGTCAAATAAAGCATCATGGCAGCACAGACACAAGTGATTTGACTTGTGGTAGAGGCAGAAGGCAGCACATATTGCCACAGTTCAAGGCCTATGCCATAAAGACCTTTCCAGTCTTATAATATTAAAGTTAGTAACATTTAATTATAATATTAAAGTTATAATAACTTCATTATTAGGGCAGCAGAGAACCATGGGAAGTTCTCCCTGTTTGTTGTTTCTGTTTTGTTTTACCCCCTCCTCCCCACTAAGAATAGTTTCTCAATTCCAACTACTTGATCAAAGGGAAGAAATAGTTCAAAGTTCTTAAAACACACTGCCGAACTTCTTTCCATAAAGTGTAGTACATCTTGGCTTGGCACATCTCAAGTGGCTAAGGCGCCAGTCACATACACCAGAGCTGGCGGGTTAGAATCCAGTCTGGACCTGCCAAACGATGGCTGCAACCGAAAAATAGCCAGGCATTGTGGTGGGTGCCTGTAGTCCCAGCTACTTGGGAGATGGAGGCAGGAGAATCACTTAAGCCCAGGAGTTAGAGGTTTCTGTGAGCTGTGATGCCATGGCACTGTACCCAGGGCAACAGCTTGAGGCTCTGTCTCAAAAAAAGAGTGTAGTTGCAACCTTCAGAGGAATTTTCCACACAGAAAACATTGGTGAGGTCTCTCTCCTGCGCTCTTTTTCTTGGGGTTTGAGTTTGTGAAGTTCTGCCAGGTTGGAGTTCTTAGGTTTCCCTTCCTGTAAAGGAGTTTCGATGACCTAAGCTTTGCTAAGTCTGTAAGGTTTCCCCACTGATTTTGATTTTATCACTACATGTGGATAGTGTTTTTTGTAAGAAGGAACCACATAGAGCATTTCCCTCTACGATAACAATGAAGGGATGCAGAGTCCAAAGTTGTTTTGTACTTTGAAGAGTCTTCATTTCTCTCCTGATCTCAAAACCTGAGACAAGAAATAGAAATTGCAGATGTCACCCAGTCTAAGGAGAAAGAACGTGATGGGGTGGGGGAAGAGTTGTATTAGACGTCAAGAGAATGATAGAAACTATTAAATAAAATCCCAAAGCTTTTTACTCCAAATGAGGCTGAATTTTTCTTTTGTTTCTCCCCTTGTTTCTTTCAAATGAATATTCACCTACCTTGGAGCCAAGTAATGTTTTCATTTCTTTGGAATCCTGTGATTCCTTCACCCATGGCTCTGCACTATGCTCCAATGGGAAGTGCAGGTCCAGTTTTGGTACTGGCTATCCTGGCCACAGAAAGATAGGAATCATGATGGTTTGTGTCACCACTGGTTTTCCCTGAGTTCAGGCTAATTTCTGGGAGAGATGAATTCTCTGTATCTTTTTCTTTCTTTCTTTCTTTTTTTTTTTTTTTGCTGTTTTTGGTAATTCAAGGTTATTTCCCTCCAATCTCTGGAAAAGGAGTGAACTAATTTTTTTAAAGTCAATGCACTGCATTAGTTTTACATCATCTTTTAAATATTTTGATAAAATAATTATCTAAATTAGAACCAAAATATGAAGTAATTATCTTCTTAAAATTCTGACTGTCTTAAGGCGTAGTTCAAGAGAAGAAAGAGAGGTAAATTTGGCAGTTAAACTATGGATTAAGCTTGGCGCCTGTAGCTCAGCAGTCAGGGCGCCAGCCACATACACCAGAGCTGGTGGGTTTGAATCCAGCCTAGGTCTGCCAAATAACAATGACAACTACAACCAAAAAATAGCTGGGTGTTATGGAGGGTGCCTGTAGTCCCAGTTACCTGGGAGGCTGAGGCAAGAGAACTGCTTAAGCCCAAGAGTTTGAGGTTGCTGTGAGCTGTGACGCCACAGCACTCTACGGAGGGCAGCAAAGACTCTTGTCTCAAAAAAAAAAAAAAAAGAAAAAGAAAAGAAACTATGGATTAATTTCAGTTAACAGATTTGCAAATAAACCCTGGCATCTGAACAAGTTTGGTTGGTAACCAGGAAAAACAGTCTTTATGTATTTGTTTTAGCTGAAGTCTAAACGTGGTCTTGATAGTAACTGAAACAACTCTCTAACAGCGTTTCTATAAACCCAAAGACAACTAGTAAAATGTTCTCCAGTTTGTTCTCCTGCTGTGTCCTACCATTCCGCCCCTAACAGTTTTGGTTTGACCCCACTTTCGATGTTCCTTCTTCTCCCTCTTCATCTTCGACAAAGTTTATCCACCTGCAAGAAAACAAAGGTTGGTAAATAGTGATTTATTTACTTTTAAGATGCTGGACAACACTGAATAATTAGTGACTTAATATTCAAGTAGAGAAATATGATTAAATACTAACATTATCAAGCAATTATTAGCAAGATAGTTTCATTAATGTTAATCTGAAGGAAACCTTAAATTCTTAGAACATTTATTTATTTAGTGACAGAGTCTCACTTTGTCGCTATGTGCCATGGCCTCATAGCTCATAGCAGCCTCAAATGCTTGGGCTCAAGCGATGCTCTCACCTCTGCCTCCTGAGCAGCTGAGACTACAGGCGCCTGAGACAGTGCCAGACTAGTTTTTAGAGGTGGGGTCTTGCTCTACCTCAAGCTGGTCTTGAACTCCTGAGCTCTAATAATCTACCCACCTCGGCCTCCCAGAGTGACAGATGAATTCCAGAACTTTTAATCAAAATATAGGAAGTGGAGCAAAATGTCTTACTTCATATTTTCATAGAGAAAAGGCAATATATTTCAAATTAATAAAAATAAAATTCCATTTCAAATGAAATGTTGTTTAAATTTATTATTGTATGATTAGATTTCAAAACTAAGAGTGGAATCAAAGGATAATGTGATAGAAATCCCCAAGTCGTAAATCAAAGGAAGGCTGCAGTCCAGCAAAACTGGGAAGAAAACCAAACTGGGAGAGACAAGTAGCAAAGGCAAGCGCTCAATAAAGGGTTATTGGTTGACACATTTTACTCCTACATCGCTTCTATTCGCTGATCTGGAAGCCTGACCGTGGCTGGACGAATCGAAGACCTGGGCTGACTCTGGCCACAGCTGAGGAGCCTTCTTCTCGGAGACAGAAAGGCTGCAACCGCGCCGGTCAGGGAATCAACTCTTAGCCCCTCACGATGAAGTTCACAACGGAGCTGGGAGAGGGGACGAATAACAATCCCGCCCTAGGAGGGCTGAGCAATAAACAGACCCATAGAGAGAGCGGCTAGCGCCGCACGCCCCGAAAGTTTAAAGTCTGGTCTGTAGTCAGAAGCCTGTGTATGGCGCTAGCCTGACCCGGAGCTTTCCCGTGGGACTGTCAGCCGCCGGACGCGAGCCTCAAACCATGAAAAAGGACACCGCTCCCTGCAACCCGGCTTCCAGGCTCCCGGAGCTCGCGGCAGTTGCCTAAGGCGCAGGCGCGCTTGCGGGGCCGAGTCCAGGACTGCATCTCCCAGCAGACCTCGCGTGGACGGACGTATCGAGGTGCTGGAGCCTAGGAGGCTTCAGGGGCGGGTAGGGAGTGCTTCAGGGGAGCTTACTAACAATTCGAATTTCTGGGCCCCACTCAGACACTCGGATGCAAAGGCATCTTGACGCTCTGAAATTTGCATTTCAATAGGCTTTCCTGAGGAATTCTATCGAGATAGTCTGCGAGTCACAACCATCTTGGGCTTAGGACCTACCGGCCCGGACCCCAGTCTCCATTCGGCCTTTCTGATGGCCCCGCCTCTCCTCTCCAATTGGCCCCTTTGCTCATCCCGCCTTCGCAAGCAAATCTTCCTTGCTGGTAGGTCAGTGGTGAGACCTTACCCAATTGGGATTAGAGTTTGCAAAACGTGACCCGGAAGTTGGTCCCAAGCCGGCGCCGTTGGCCCGTGGACGCCTAATTCGTGCGCAGGGACCTCCGGCGTGGTAGGGCATTGCTGAGTCTTGCATGGGTCAGCTGTAGGGGGAAGCGCGGCGTTCCGGTCCTGCCTCGGGGACGTCTTGGTTGGGGTGAACCAAGGGACCAGTGCAGTGGCTCCCGAAACTGATTGAGGCCCAAGCCCAGGAGGCAGCTCCGCCCAGGCTGGAGCTGGGCTCTCCAGCTGCCACTTGGAGTCCCGGACCCCCGGTTCCTGCCGACGCCGTACATCCTTGGACTGTGTACCGGTCCTAGGCGGGCGCAGCTAGTTTCGTGGTCAGTACACTCTGGGGCCTTAACGATGGCGTCGGGGCAGAGTTCCCAGGAACAGGAAGGACTACTGATAGTGAAATTGGAGGAGGACTGTGTCTGGAGCCAGGAGCTGCCCCCGTCTGACCCAGGACCAAGTCCAGAGGCCTCCCACCTGCGCTTCAGACGTTTCCGCTTCCAAGAGGCAGCTGGTCCCCGGGAAGCCCTTAGTCGGCTCCAGGAACTTTGCCATGGGTGGCTGAGGCCAGAGATGCATACCAAGGAGCAGATTCTGGAGCTGCTGGTGCTGGAGCAGTTCCTGATCATTCTACCCCAGGAGATCCAGAGCAGGGTGCAGGAGCTGCATCCGGAGAGCGGCGAAGAAGCGGTGACCCTTGTGGAAGATATGCAGAGAGAGCTTGGGAGACTGAGACAACAGGTGAGAGCGAGAACGAGCTGTTTTATCTGCAGTTTTTTTGACCCTTAGGACTAGGATATAGCGCCCCCAGTCGAGTTTACTTGGTTGCCCTGAGATCTTAAATGGGAAAGAGGCCTTTTTGTTTTAATCTGGAACACTCATCCTCCAGATATTTCCCAAATGAACCGAGTGAGTAGTGAAGAATGCCTTGTTTCCACATGGAGGCAGTGCTCCTGCATTAACATTAGGCCTGGAGTTAGATCACCAGTGTTCAAATCCTAGGTTTGTCACTTTGGGCAAGTTTTTGATCCCTTGGGGCGCTGTTTTCCTCCGGGTAAGATGAGGATGATAAAATATTTCCTAGGGCTGTTTTCTCAACCTTCCTAATGACTTCCCCAACTACAGAATTGTTTTTGTTGCTAGTAGCAACGAAATTTTATGGTTGGGGGTCACCACAACTTGAGGCACTGTATTAACGGGTTGTGGCATTAGGAAGGTTCAGAACCACTGGTGTAGAGGGAGAGCATCTCGAAGTTCTGATCACACTACTGGCTTATAGTCAGTGTCCTTTTGTATACAGAACAGAGGCAATTTAGAGCTATGTGAATGTTGAGTAGTTAAGAGTGCTTGCTACTCCTAATATTCCTTTACTCTGACCTGTCATTTTTTTTTTTTTTTTTTGAGACGGAGCCTCAATACCTGTTACTATTTGTTTGGGCTCAAAAGTCTTGTCTCCTCTGCAGAGCTGGGCCTCAGTTAATTGTGAACCTCGAAAAACCATTTGGCATTGAGTCTCTGAATTGTCTGTCCCCCAGGATGACAAGGGTCACCAAAGTTTAGCTTATCCAGTAGTGAGGAAAAGCAGCATCTAGAACAGGTGAGAGAGCAAAAGCCAGTGAGATGTATCAGAACAGCTGTGGGGGGAAGGTGTACAATGGGATTTACCCCACTCCCAGTTTCAGCTGACACACATCCAAGGGTGGGGAACCTGTGGCCTTTTAATTTCAAGATTCTTCTTTTTAAAACACCAAACTAGCAAGAAAAGCTTAATCTTTCTCTGCTAAAAGGATTAGTTCTGCAAAATTTTGATTTCCCCAGAATTTTGCCTTAAGGCTGCAGGCTCCCCATCAAACTGCTTACTGGGTCCTAAATGATCACCTATGGTTCTTTGTTGAAGGCTTGCCCTCAGAATCCTGTACTAATTTCCCTTCCTGTTGGGCCCCATTGTGATGATGAGTGATGTGGGTTGGTTCCCAGGTCACAAACCACGGGCGGGGAACAGAAGTGGTTTTGGAGGAGCCTTTGCCTCTGGAAACAGCACAAGAGTCACCAAGCTTCAAGCTGGAGCCAGTGGAGACTGAGCGAAGCCTTGGCCCCAGGCTGCAGGAGCTGCTAGGCCCCAGCCCCAAAAGGGAACCTCAGGCTGCAAAGGAACGGGGTGAGGAGCAGTTATCTGGGCAGGTGGGAGGGAGGAGGGGCTTTGGGGTTGCTCCTAACACTAGCTTGGTGTAGCTTTGGTGCCAAGGAGAAGGAATTTCTTAAGTCAGGCTTTCAAATGTGGACTCAAAGACCTAAAAGTAGTAGTGTGGGTTCTTTTAGGGGTAGGGAAAGGGAGGGGGAAGTCTCTTAGTAGTGTCCTTTTGTATACAGAACAGAGGCAATTTAGAGCTATGTGAATGTTGAGTAGTTAAGAGTGCTTGCTACTCCTAATATTCCTTTACTCTG